TGGGAAAGAGATTTTTTCAAAAGACCGCTTCAATTTTAATCCCAGCCCCCAAAAAGGTGAGAGATTGAGATGCGAAAATTACAGGGATATTAGCTTGATTGGTATTACAGCCAAATTGTTTGCAATGATACTGCTTAATCGCTTCGCAGTCGTCAGGGATACCCACACTCACTCGAACCAAAGGGGGTTTCACCGTGGAAGAGGCTGTATTTAACAAATCTTCACTCTCCGTAGAATTTTGGAACACCGCTACAAGTACCAACAGCCTACTACTGCATGTTTGATTGACTTCCGCACTGCGTTTGAATCTGTCAATAGAGAATCCTTGTGGTGCATATTGCAGTCCGATGGGATGCCTGAGAAGTTCATCAGGCTTTTAAAGTCGTACTGCTCAGGAACCCGGGCACGCGTCCGCACCTATGGAGAAGAATCGGCCGGGTTAACCCTAAGTTCTGAAGTTAGGCAAGGTTGTCCCCTATCGCCGGTGTTATTCAATTCCATCGTAGATTAGATAATGCGACGAGCACTCATCGACTACCCTGGAGTGCAGCTTGGCCCAGGTACATGGATTGTTGACCTCGAGTTCGTGAACGATTTTATGTATATGGAGATACCATAGACAACCTCCAGCCTATTGCCAATTGTATAAATCAGTTTGCCCAGTCCATTGCGCTAGTGATCAACACGTTGAAAACGGAGACATTGTTGACCGAAACTTCTACAATGACACAACCCCTCTCGAGTAACAGAGAGCATGTCGAATCAAACGAAGTTCTCAAGTATCTTGGCTCTAAGATGAGACCAAACGACTAGGCTAAGAATGAAATCAAACTCCATGTAGATGGAGCTAGAAAAGCTTTCCTACAACTCCTCAAACCGTTGTGGAATCGATGGAAAATATGGTTAAACATTAAGCTTTGGATTTATCAAGCTTTCATCCGCCCTATCCTCGCTTATGGTTGTGAATCCTGGTCGCTAAGAGTGCAAAATACAAGAAAGAAGTATTTGATCATTGATGCTTACGCCGCATCTTGAAAGTAAACTGGAGAGATCGGATTTCCAATGATGAAGTTCGACGGCGCTGCTTGAACATTGACAAACTTTCAAAATGCTACAACGCCGGCGCCTTCAGTGGTTTGGCTATGTGCCCCGAAGGCTTGACAATCAACTCTCGCGACAATCTGTAGCCCCCGCACCGTGCCGTGGACGGTGTCGCCGACTCGGTGGTTAACTGAAAACCTGGAGTAGCACGATCAAGGCGGATTTGGAATTACTGGGTCTTCAATCCGTATATGAAATTCGCAACCGGAACCAGAACTGGGTTTCACACTACGTCAACCTTGCTACCGATCGTCATGCATGGGCCGCCATCATTAGAGACATCCAGGAAACCGACTTATCCTCCCGCAGGAGTTGGTCAATCAAAAAAAGTAAGTAAAGTAAGTTCATTTATTAAATGTGCAGTATGATCTACTCCCATCTGTACGACAAGGTTCTACCGAAGATAAGCTCATCTTAGGAACATCCATATAGCAGCCATCTGTTTTCGGTCCCATTTAACTGTTATTTATTTCTGCCCAGATGGGAGACACTTCTCCTGTTAGTGTGGTAACACTCCTTGGTTTGGAAAACATCATATTGCGATTGAAGCCCATGATTTCCTCCTAAGTGAACCTTACTTATTCCCAGCCAAACGCGATGCGGAATAATTTGACATGAAAAACATTAATTTGTTCACCTTTTATGTTGATTTCATCTTGCATATTTACTTACTTATCCTATGGTCGCCAAAATCAGAGGCCACTACATCGGACGGTAACAGGTCATTCGAATATACTGTTTACCGAGCAACACTATCGAGTTTCATGTGAGCCTATCGCCATGTTTCATCGCCCATCATGTGTTGTACTGTCCTTTGGCCACGTCAGGTACAATCAATTATGGATGGTATTTATATCTCAATGAGACACTGTTACCTATTCAGGAAGGATTCAGCTTTTCATTCACAGTTAGCTGAAGTTTAAAATACTTTTGTTCTGTGGTCACAAAACAAAGACAACCAACATAACGCTTTAACTGAGATCGACTACTGAAACTGATATTCGTAACACTCAGACAAATTCACCAAACTGTGTGATGCGCCGTGAACCACTTAAAAGGCTACAACTGCATTTCTTTCTCGTGATTGAGGCATAACTTCCAAGCTCCCGTGTCATAGAAATGAATGAGGATAAGTCAATTAAAGCATGACGATCTCAGTGAGATGTATTCGGTTAAAAGCAACAAGTCAGTGGTGAATTTCGTCCTATTTGTTTGCCATGTATGTTGAGATCAATAAAGTAACTTCTTTTTTCTTGGGGGGCGTGCAGGAGCGACTCTCGGGAGGGACAACTTCCATTGATACATGCTTAAGTTTCTAACCTTCGCCTCATTGATAAATGGACACCGTTTGAATTGGCAAAAAGAAAATTGCGCCAGGGAGAACCCGTAACGATATTACATGTGCGTCGAAGATGATCCCCCACATGCACACAAGTGCACACGTTGTATTCTAGACAATGTCCCATACAAAACAACCAATTGATATGCCATATGAATAGTGGAAAACTTATTCGTCATAATCAAACTACCCAATTTCCCGTGAACTTTGAGATGTCTAATGTCTATCCCGAAAATCCACTTAATTGTCCGACGGTTACCATTTAAACCCAGTTGATTTGTCATTTCAAAACAAAAGCACATAGCACTTTTTTCATGGTTCAGTACCGAGTAAAAAGAAGAAGATTAGAGAAGAGATACAAGCTTTATTTTCTCAACTAGGTGTTATTCTGTTTACATTTAATTTTCTTCCAACATTTATACCTCGCACTCTAAGGAAACCATTTGGCTACACGTTGAAATCTCTGTGTTCTGTGGGTATCAAGTACTTGCTTCAGTGAGAGAACACGATTACCTTAACCTATGGATCTAATTCGAACCCTACTTGACCATTTTTGACACTAGACTCGTAAAACGTGGTGTAGACAGCGATATTCTATTGCCGATAGTGTGCTTCTTCCTTTTCTCGTAACAGCCATTCAACAGAAGTGGATGGATATTTACAGTACACAGTGGACCCCAACCTAGACAACCGAATGCCACGGCGTTGCCATAAATCCCAGTTTGCTAAACTCCACCCGAACATTTGTTTTTCTTACCGATATTCCAGCCAAAATTCTATTTTCAGATGAAATAAAACTACCCAAAAAGCAAAATTGTCTACTTTATCCATCGCCTTCCCAACCAAAATACACTGCCATCTACGTCTTCCAGATCAGACAGGTTGTCACTTGGAAGGATCCTGGTATGAGGGGAGATTCATTTCCAAAATCATGTATAATAAATAGATGAAGAGAAAGTGAGGGCGAGAAAAACTGATGATAATTGTTCTCCGTGCTAATTTCGGACGAAAGAATTCACCATATGGTACTCGGGGAAGTAAAGACAATAAGTGACGTGTGTACTCCATTCCGCAGTTGCTTATTGTAGCACGTGACCTGATATAAAAGCGATGTCATTCCCGCTTGTCATTTAGCTTTGCCTTATAGGAGGGAAATCACTAATTGTGAGCTCACTCTGATGAATAATGATTATTTTCCGAGGTTTTTTTATACGCAGACCTAATTAGCTGTTCGCTTGAAAAATAAATGCATACCCTATCACACTCAGACTAAACCCGTCACGTTTTTCTTTCAACAATTTTGTACTTTAAACTTGCAATAAAGTGTTTTCACTTACAAAAATCTGTGGCTAATTCCTCCGGCAATTCAAGCAACGCCGGGGACAACGGTAAACTCGTAGCGCACAAATATGATCATGGACCAATAACGAAAGGGAATCGAATACAATCAACATGAATGGCTTATTTTAAAAAGCTCAACGGTGAAGCCTATTCCAAATGGTGAAATAAAATCGACCTGGTACTATTTGAATGAAGTGCAGGCGTTTTGATTAGCCACGTCGATTTATAATAAGGAATGATAAGTAAAAACGAATGAGTTCTGCAGTCTTTTAAAATATTCCGTACTGGTCCAATCAACCGAGCAAATTGTTGTTGCATTTTGGATATGTGAATTATATCTTCGGTTTCGTTTCAAGTCGTTATCCAGTGAGACATGATAGTTTTAGTTGTTCTTAAATGATATCCACCCGTTTCCTGATCGAACTTCTTTGGTCGACACTTTTACTTGATTGTAGGTTGCTTTACACGAAGATATATATAATTGCTCTTTTTTCTAAATATGAGCTATGCGGCCTTTTGTACGACGACTGGGTACTGTTAAATAGGTCGCATTTATTCGATCGATGGCCATCTTATTTTCCCTGATACATCAGATCAAGAGGGAGAAGTCAACCACGAGAATGCGTATTGCAATTCGTAGAGGTTAGACTGTAAAGTTTGCCAGCACCAAGACCATCATCATCATAATCATCAATGAAAACAACAACAGCATGCGACTTTTATTGTGAGTCATTTCGTTGTCGCCGGGTTCGATAACACACCTGGTGCGATTTGTCACCACACGTCTCTGCGTTTGAGTAGTCAGTTATTATAAGCGATCGGAAGGTTCGCTTTTTCAAGGGGTTTCACATTTTTGGATTTCGCAAAACTGAAATAACGCATAAAATCTTCTCGGATTGCCACGATATTGGAGAAAACGAGCAAATAATCGTTTTAAGATATACCTAGGCATACTATTGCGTACATTAGGGCTTGGTTTGGTTTTCTTGAAGTTCAAAATATCAACCAGAACAAGAACCTCATCAAATAGATCAAATAATTCCGTGAAGAAACAATTTCATCCTCTCATTTGTTTTTCCTCAATTTCCAGATTGCTACACATCCTCGAACTGATTCTAATTCACGGTCTACTTGATGCACGCGTTATGCTATCCTAAGTGCCACAGTTTTAAAGCATTGTGAGTCACCGAATTCCATCTCGCACTCGGGAAATAATCAAATGACATTGAGCGGATTATCCTTCACACTGTGTTCGGTATTCTTTTCCCGATGGATTATCGCATCGGTCGTTCTTCTCCTCACCTGCCCCGGCCATGTTATGACACAACATATGGTGAACTATCGAATCTCAGAAGAACTACCTCGGGGCACCTTGATTGGCTCCCTGGCCACTCATCTGCCCCTCCCGCTCAAAACCAAATTACCCCAACTACGATTTCGTAGTATCCAGAGTGAGCATGCACAATACTTTCATGTGAATATAAGTACCGGTGAATTACGCGTGCGAATGCGCCTGGATCGGGAAACTATTTGTCCCATCTTGATCGAAGGTGTTTCTCCGACGGAACTGCTTCGTCGCGCGTCAATCTCTCAGGACACCGTATGCCAGCTGAGTTTTCGAGTGAACATTCTGCGTGTCACCCAGTCCGGAGTGGAGATCAAAAACCTCATTCGTGTGGTTATAACACTTGACGATGTGGATGATAATCGATGTCAATTTATTCCCTCGAATAATCAGGAATTATATATCCCCGAGAATGTCAATGGTACAACATACGATTTGCATTTACCGGTGGACCTGGATACAGAACCTCGAAATAACATTAATAAAACTTCGATTAGCCTTCACACACATTCGAATGGTACCATCAAGCATCCGTTTGGCTTGAGCATTGACAAAACAGAATCCGTTATAGCTCCATATCAAATTAAACTGGTAGTTCTCGAACCCATGGATTACGAACAAGTACGTCAATACAAAATGATTGTCTATGTTAGTGGTTCGACCGTCAACAGTGAATGCCGTTTGGACTTGATCGTCCACGTGTTAGACACCAATGATCATGCGCCTGTGTTTGTCCGAAAGACGGACCGCCTCTCCTTGTCCGAGAATACCACCATCGGTCAGCCATTCTATACGGTCAAAGCTATTGATGACGATGTCGGACCGGTCTATGGTGCATTGCGCTTCTTGTTGAGCCCGTCGAATTCACCGCAATTGCACTTGACATTCGCCATTCACGAACGAAATGGTTCGGTCTATTTGAAACGCGCGCTGAACTACGGTCAACAATCCAGTTATAAGCTCTCATTACGCGTCCAGAACCCCGAGGAGACTGGCTCCGCTTTTCTTGGTTCGAATCGAATGTACACCTCGAGCAGTTCCAGCCTTGATGTGCGGGCGATGAATTTGGGCAAATCGGACAATTTAATGGACGAGATGGATCTGTATATTGATGTGATTGATGTGAATGATCACTGGCCAGAAATAGTGATTTACGCGCTGAACGGCAGTCGTCAGATCACTCTGGCTGAGCACATCGAATCCATTCCGGCCGACTTCGCTGTTGTCAGTGTCACNAAATGGTTTGAACTGACACGAATAGATCAAAATCCTCTGGTTACCGTCACAGCGGCCTCTGAAAATCAGACCACTAGTGACACGAACGGAAACCGGGGGGCATTATACAAATTAGCTGCTCTACGATCATTTGATCGGGAAGTGGAGACCATTGTGAATTTTCGCGTAGTGTGTGAAGACCATGGGAATCCACGGCTTACTTCAAACATGACAGGGATTTTGTGGATTCTCGATTTGAATGATCACAGTCCTGAGTTTCCCGTGACCACTGTACACATGCAAGTTAACGAAGATTCGGATCCGACTAGACATTTGAATGATTTTGTCATTGGGCAAATAAATGCCACAGACAAGGATAGTGGTGAGAATGCAAAATTACGCTATTCATTAGTGGAACCGGAGCTCCAGCATCTAATTACTATCGATCCCATAAATGGACTGATGCGATCAAAAGGTTTGTTGGATTTTGAAACGAATCAAACTATCTTATTCACCGTTGCGGCCACAGACATGGGCAACCCACCAAGAACGGCAAGTTGTCGTGTTCATCTGAAAGTTCTCGACTATAATGACCATGCACCGGAATTCGAACAGTCTGATTATGACTTTTCAGTTCAGGAAAATTTGCCACAAGGTTTCCCCATTGGATCGATACAAGTATGTGATCGTGATGTGGGCATCAATGCGGTGATGAATTTTCGGCTGAGCCAGATGGAAACACCAGAAATGTTGTTTACTCACACGTCAGCCAGCCAGCTGTACCCCCCTCGAACCCAAATCCCGTTTCGGTTAAGCTCACAGTATGCCAGTCATTCAGAATGTTATAAAGTGGTCCTCTTGACTTCCAGTCCGCTGAATCGCGAAGCAAATCTGGAACTGGCAAATCGATCACAAAATGATCACGTCTACCTCTCTCGACCGTACCAGTTTTACGTAATCGCAGAAGATCGAGGCAGTCCGGCCCTGACCGCACGTGCCCGAATCCAAATACGCGTGACGGATGTGAATGATGAAGCACCGGTGTTTGTGGAACCGTCCATTTTGCATCGATCCATGCTCGTTACAGTTTACCAACCGATAGATGTGGAAATATTTCGGGTAAGTCCAGGGAAAACAAAATGAAATTACCGAGTCATTCACCCGCTGTGGTGCCAACAAAGCTTTCTGTAGATGAAAGCTTTACTGTGGTCATATATACGGAGCTAAAACCTCGATACTAGCACCTGGAACGGATTTTCTCTTTAAAAAGATTTTGATTGCTACATTCGCTGAAGCTTATAGACCCGAAAGCTGAATCCAAAGTAATTTCAATCAAAGGGTTTTAATCAAAAGGTAATTAAAAGTTTCTTGCTTTTCTGAAGCACATATGGTTTGACCAGGACATTACAGGTCTAATCGAAACTGAAGCAACAGGTCCCTTTGAAACACTTGTCGGTTCGTATGGGCAACAGCATTTAAACAGAAGTAAATTTTTTTTCAAAACTAAAATTAAACAAGTCTTGGAGAGTCTTTATATTCGTGATTTTCCTGAGTCGTTTATACTCAGCAGATGGAATGGTTCAAAATGTAGCGGATACTCCCAGTTCGTCAGTAGTGGTTGACCTAGACCATGATGAGTTAAGAGGTAACTAAAGAGAATGGAACAGTTTTTATTAACCACAAATTAACATTGATAATAAGCAAGATGTAAAGTTTGTGAACACTAGCAGTCGCTTAGTCTGTTTTTGTTCCTTAGAACTTTTTTGAGTCTCTTCGGCGTCAAACCCACCAACTTTGTTATGAAGTCATTTTCTATGTTGTGCTCCATTACGTATCGCACTTTTGTTCCATCGGCCGGTACTCTACATTTGAACTCCTTAAGGACTTTACGAGCGGAGCTTTAGGCTCCGTGGAACGACTTATGGTAACGTGTGTAAGTCTTTAAGATGAAAATTTCACTTCCACGTTTTTCTAAACGCGAAAAGTAGTTTTGAACGGACGGAACTGAGGAAAGAGAGTGAAAAAATTATTGAATTCACTCGAATAAGATAACTAAGTGACGAATCACAATAGAACTATACTCGAAATTTATCTAACCGAAATTTTACATTTTACCGTATAAAATGCGCACGATGACCAGAAATCCAAGTAATTGGTGGTCTTTAAGTGAGGAAGAATCTCATTACAATTACCCAGGGTCGGTTTCTTCGAAACCTGCTCAAACCGAATATCTTCCCAACGTTTCTGTATGTTCTCATTATGCGTTGCAAAGTCAAAGTTTTATTATGGGAATAACTAACAAGTTCGTGCTTCTCTTATCCCATAGGATATTTGCATAGATAAATCATTACACATCGAAAAAGGAGTCACATAGAGATCCGGGTAGGAGATAATAAAGAATGTAGGCTACAGTGAATTTCCGTTTGCCTTTAGTGGTGTACGAATGTGAGGTGTGCCAAGGTTCCGTCGAATCTCTGCTTGAAAGATTCAATTGTGGGTGCACAAACGACATGAGATGGAATGGCATTCCAAAATCTGCATACTCTGACAGCAAAAGACTGGCGCCAGCATCCCAGTAGGCACTTTGTAAGCGGTAACTTGAAACGGTGTCCCCTAAGGTGTACATTTTTCGATAACATGAGCAGCTGACGACATGGATGGTTTGGGTTCTGCAGTATTTGATACATCAAAATCAAGTCTCCCCGAA